GGGTGAGAGCCAGGTGGAGTGTGGTGGAGATGGCGTCATCCGTTGAGCAGTTGGGGCGATATGCAAATTGCAGTGGGTCCCGTGAAGGAGGGAGCTGGTCTTTAATGTGCCTCATGACAAGCCTCTCAAAGCACTTCATGATGATGGGAGTAAGTGCAACGGAACGGTAGTCATTAAGGCACAACACTGGAGACTTCTCTGGCACAGGGATGATGGTGGTGGACTTGAAGCACGTTTGAACGACTGCAGTGCTCAGAGAGATGTTGAATATGTCCGTGAGATCATCAGCCAGCTGTTCGGCGCATTCTCTTAGAACTCTGCCTCGTATGCTGTCATATCCTGGTGCTTTTCGTGGGTTGACTCTGTGTAGAGTTCTCCGCACATCAGCAGTGGACAGACACAGTGCCTGTTCATTTGGAGGAGATGTAATCTTCCTCGCCGTCGTGCCATTCTGTGCTTCAAACCGAGCATAGAAGTTATTAAGCATATCTGAAAGGGAGGCATCACTGTCACAAGCAGGTGGCGGTGTCTTGTAGTTGGTGATGGCCTGGATGCCCTGCCACATGCGCCCTGTGTCAGCAGTGTTTTGAAAATGTTCACGGATTTTCTTTGAGTAGGCATGCTTAGCCTCTTTAATGGCCCGGGAAAGCTTGGCTCTTGCTATCCTGAGGCTTGCTTTATCCCCTGACTTGAAAGCCTTGTCACGGGTTCTCAGCAGCATGTGCACCTCCGCAGTGATCCATGGTTTCTGGTTGGGGTGAGTTGTGACGAGTTTGGAGACAGTAACATCATCAATGCACTTGCTGATGTAGCCAGTCACTGATTCTGTATACTCCTCCAGGTTGATGGAGTCACCAGACATTGCTACTTCTCTGAACAAAACAATCAGAATAAAGCTCAGTCATCTAAGATGAGGCAATTTTCAGTCAAAATGGCCATTTCATACAAGGTATTCATTTTTCAGTGCTGGGAAAAAAGCAGAAAATAAAATTATAGACAACAAGCCTCAACAAGTAACATAATATCAAAATATTTGCCATTTAGTGTTTTGATTTTATTACTGCTTCGGTTCTTTTTGGGAAACTGCTTTTCAGTTTATCAAATTGCAGCGATTTTTCTCCATGCTTCTTATAAACAACTCCAAAGTTCAATCTTAGAACTGGGCTGCACTTTATGCTTCTCACACTCCAAGTAATCCCTCAGTCATGCTGAGGTCTAGGCTCTCTCCAGTTTCTGTGTACTAACGCAATTTCTTTGCTTTTTTTTTTTCCTGCGCTTCATTTCTGGCTGATAATCTCCAACCACCCTGTCAAACTCCTCAAGCACCTGATCTAGAGCAAACAAAAATAAGAAACATGTACTAATCAGACCAGACATCTGCTGCCATCACAATGCAGATCACTGCATTGTATTCTGACTCTGTACATGAGGGTCCTGGCCATTAGCAGAAGGCTGCAGCGCAGGGTTGTGGCTTTTGTGTCAGTACCAGCAGCAAACAGGTTGGAAACTGTTTGAACGTCATTCTGTTCATGGAACAGAGTGTTCTTTGCTCCAGATTCCCTGACCAGCAAAACAATCAGAATAAAGTTCAGTCATGCAAGCTGAGGCCATTTCCGGTCAAAACAGCCGTTACATACAAAGTATTCATTTTTCAGTGCTGGGAAAAAAGCAGAAAACAAAATTACAGACAGAAGCCTCAACAAATAAACATAATATCAAAATATTAACCGTTCTATGTGCTTGATTTTTTATTAATGCTTCCTTTCTTTTCAGCTGACTTGTTTTCAGTTTTTCAAACAAATCTGCTGGGATATTTCTCCACGCTTCTTGTAAACACCTCAGGTTTACTTTCAGTGATGTTTTTGTGTTTTCATGCAGGTCTAATAGAGGTTAATTATCGAGAGAAAAGTGAGAGAGGCTTTCAGTTAAAATGAGTACTGAATTTAATTGAACCTAATTGAGAAAATATATGATCTGTAACTATGACCATGGAGTTCTGTTATAGTTTATTATTAAAACCTGCAAACAGAGCAAAATTACACTCTTTCTGATGCACCATCTGAACTGATCTATAATCTGTGTATTTGAATAATATATCAAGAAGAAAACTCAGCCAAATGTCTTCTGGTTATTTGCAAAGATAATTAATAATAATAATAATAATAATAATAATAACCCTCTAGGTTAAAGCCAATTATTAGCACAACTATTAGCTCAGCTTCAGTTCTGGCTCATATCATTAACTCTATATTAGATAGCTGCCCTAAATTCTTTAACACTGGAGGCTCAGACAGGTTTGAGGAATTCATGTGCAGAGATTTATTAACAAGAATGTGAACAGTGAACAGCAGTGGACTAAGCACACAGCCCTGAGGGTCGCCGGTGCTCAGTATGGTGGTGCTGGAGATGTTGTTACTTATCCTGACTAACTGAGGACTCTCAGTCAGGAAATCCAGGACCCAGTTACAGAGGGAGGTATTCAGGCCCAGTAGGCTCAGTTTTCCAATCAGCTGCTGAGGGATGATGGTGGTGAATGCTGAACTGAAGTCTATGAACAGCATTCTGATGTAGGTGTCTCTATTGTCTAGGTGGGTGAGAGCCAGGTGGAGTGTGGTGGAGATGGCGTCATCCGTTGAGCAGCTGGGGCGATATGCAAATTGCAGTGGGTCCCATGAAGGAGGGAGCTGGTCTTTAATGTGCCTCATGACAAGCCTCTCAAAGCACTTCATGATGATGGGAGTGAGTGCAACGGGACGGTAGTCATTAAGGCACAACACCGGAGACTTCTCTGGCACAGGGATGATGGTGGTGGACTTGAAGCACGTTTGAACGACTGCAGTGCTCAGAGAGATGTTGAATATGTCCGTGAGAACATCAGCCAGCTGTTCGGCGCATTCTCTGAGCACTCTGCCTGGTATGCTGTCATATCCTGGTGCTTTTCGTGGGTTGACTCTGTGTAGAGTTCTCCGCACATCAGCAGTGGACAGACACAGTACCTGTTCATTTGGAGGAGATGTGATCTTCCTCGCCGTCGTGCCATTCTGTGCTTCAAACCGAGCATAGAAGTTATTAAGCATATCTGAAAGGGAGGCATCACTGTCACAAGCAGGTGGCGGTGTCTTGTAGTTGGTGATGGCCTGGATGCCCTGCCACATGCGCCGTGTGTCAGCAGTGTTTTGAAAATGTTCACGGATTTTCTTTGAGTAGGCATGCTTCTTATAAACAACTCCAAAGTTCAGTTTTAGAACTGGGTTGCACTTTATGCTTCTCACACTCCAAGTAATCCCTCAGTCATGCTGAGGTCTAGGCTCTCTCCAGTTTCTGTGTACTAACGCAATTTCTTTGCTTTTTTTTTCCTGCGCTTCATTTCTGGCTGATAATCTCCAACCACCCTGTCAAACTCCTCAAGCACCTGATCTAGAGCAAACAAAAATAAGAAACATGTACTAATCAGACCAGACATCTGCTGCCATCACAATGCAGATCACTGCATTGTATTCTGACTCTGTACATGAGGGTCCTGGCCATTAGCAGAAGGCTGCAGCGCAGGGTTGTGGCTTTTGTGTCAGTACCAGCAGCAAACAGGTTGGAAACTGTTTGAACGTCATTCTGTTCATGGAACAGAGTGTTCTTTGCTCCAGATTCCCTGACCAGCAAAACAATCAGAATAAAGTTCAGTCATGCAAGCTGAGGCCATTTCCGGTCAAAACAGCCGTTACATACAAAGTATTCATTTTTCAGTGCTGGGAAAAAAGCAGAAAACAAAATTACAGACAGAAGCCTCAACAAATAAACATAATATCAAAATATTAACCATTCTATGTGCGTGATTTTTTATTAATGCCTCCTTTCTTTTCAGCTGACTTGTTTTCAGTTTTTCAAACAAATCTGCTGGGATATTTCTCCATGCTTCTTGTAAACACCTCAAGTTTACTTTCAGTGATGTTTCTGTGTTTTCATGCAGGTCTAATAGAGGTTAATTATCGAGAGAAAAGTGAGAGAGTACTGAATTTAATTGAACCTAATTGAGAAAATATATGATCTGTAACTATGACCATGGAGTTCTGTTATAGTTTATTTTTAAACCTGCAAACAGAGCAAAATTACACTCTTTCTGATACACCATCTGAACTGATCTATAATCTGTGTATTTGAATAATATATCAAGAATATATTCATATCAAACTCAGGCAAATGTCTTCTGGTTATTTGCAAAGATAATTATTAATAATAATAATAATAATAATAAAAACCCTCTAGGTTAAAGCCAATTATTAGCACAACTATTAGCTCAGCTTCAGTTCTGGCTCATATCATTAACTCTACATTAGATAGCTGCCCTAAATTCTTTAACACTGGAGGCTCAGACAGGTTTGAGGAATTCATGTGCAGAGTTTTATTAACAAGAATATTCAAAAACACAGCCCAAAATTCTAGGTCAGGGAAAAGTTCAAAACCCAAAGCACAAAAACACACAATGTATAAACAGACATGGGTCAAAAAACAGGAGAACCAAGATAGAACAAACAGGCTTAGAACTGCAGTGAGAACTGACTGTCAATAATTCACAAAGTAAGAGGACAAAGTGAGTGTCCTTACAGGTTGAGTATTGAGGTTGGATCAGCAAACACATGAGAATAATCAGGTGAAACCATTAATCAGGAGATCGGGGACCTGAGGGGGGTCCTGTGATTGCTCAGTGTAGATGTGGCAATATCATACAGACTTTCATTTCTATGAAACAATCATAAGTACTATTAATGTAACTTTGTATGTTCCATATTTATCCAAAGCTTTATGGCTACAGTAGATGTATGGAGTTAGATTCATGTCATTTGGAATTGGAATTTAAAAGCAGCAACTGTAGCAACAGATGGGCTACAGTCAGCAAGTGCCAGTGTACCTGTAAGGTAGGTGTTTCAGTTCATATGACCAGAGAATGTAGGTACAACGTAAGACAAGGGATGAGAGAGCAGGGGAGAGATTTGGTATTGTGCTGCTTTTGCAAGACATCCATATTTTTTTATAAAGTGAATTAAAAATGTCAATTAGTAGAGTGCTTAAATTGCACTGTCAACCTTAAAACTAAGTTTCAGATTTTATTTTGCTCTCTTCAAAAATTCAATTTCAGTTTAGAATTCGATTTCAGATGGTATGATACAGATACAAAATAATCACATTACAATTCAGATTTTTGAGTTAAAAATTCTAATTTCTAATGGCATGCATCCAACTTGACGACCAATAGGGAAAATGAAGAAATCATCATTCTTAGCATAGCCACTGATGTAGAGGCTAAAACATAGAAATATGATATTCAACTTCCCGAAGTGTTTTTTTCTGGTAACACTTATTTTAGGGTACTTAATAAATAGTTAATAATAATAGTTTATTAATAGTTAAAAATGTAGTAATTATCTGGCACATATCTGGCACAATGCTTGGTACATACTTTGCAAGTTTAACATGTAACTTAAAGGTATTTTAGAATAAGACTACCCTTATAAATGGTTTATGAATGCTGATAGAGGAAACAAAGTAAGACCAGTAAACAACTGGAAGTGTTTATGAAATAACTATTAACCACAAATAAACAAATTTAAGGGCACCATGTTAAGGTGTTTATGACCTTCGTGTGATAACATTGATAAAAACTTGTCAAATTTAATGTTACAGTGATGGTGGTGAATTAAGACAAGCAGAGTTGAACGTGTGGTTGTTCATCAGGATGAATAACATTAGCACGGTCAGCTATAGCTTTGGGAAATGGAAACTGAACCTGGAGGGCAGCATGAAGCACTGTCACCTTATTCCTTACCAGAGATGTGCACTGACACTTTGAGGGGCTGTTGCTCTAACTTTAAAAAAGGGCACCCCCACTCCCCCAATTTTAGGTTTATATTGTAGAATATGGTCATTTACCTAACAACAAATCAATTTTAATTGATGGAATTTTTAAGATATTATTGTTGATAGGTGTTCAAATAATGAAGCATTATTATTGTTGTGCTTGAGGCAAGAGCTCTCTCTTAATCACACTGTTAGAGTATGTGCAGGCTCAGCAGAGAATTCGAATCTATCATTCTCTTTACCCCACTATTACTTGCACGGCCTTTTTGTAGTACTTCTCTCACTCTCAGCCATTGCCACCCTCATATGTACCTGTCTGATGTGAGACAGGCTCAGACAGGCTCTTTCTTACTCTCTGGCCTTGTGATTGTGCCTCATCTTAAATTGAATTATTAGAATCAAAAATACCATTGTCCATAGCATTTTCCATTCAGAATTGCTTGGGCATGGTAGAACTGCCATTTAAAATAGCAAGTGCCTTAAATATACAGTTCAACAGTTCTGATCACTTAAATTCTGAACGTCAAACTTAATCGTCAACTTTTACATCTCACTTCAGTGTAGCCAACTGAATTTTCATGGACATGATGCCATCAGTAGCTTGACTCTTTCTAGTAAAGCTCAGGAATCTTGTTTTGTATGTAAAAATATGTACTAGAATACAGAGCATTACCAAATGTCATATAGGATTTCATGAACATATTTTCTGGCCTTACCATCCTACCACCCTACAGAAAAGCAATGCTCCTTAACATTGGTAAACATGAAGCTCATTCACAATACTACTATGTACAGATATAATATACTGTGTATTTATCATCAGTTGTTTTTAGTTAGTCATTAGCCTACTTTCAACTAAAAAAATGCTTCTGAGAACATAGGCCTACTTCATATTAAATTCATTATGTAGGAAATTGTTGCTTGACCTTTCTAACATAATGCTTGAATCCAGCTCTGCTAAGTTGAGATCGCCTTAGCTGACTTCTTTAGCTCTTTCACTCTCTGTTTAATTCTCCTCCTTTTGTAAGGCACTGTCTACTGTAAGCACCCAAAATTAACATTATATAAAAATGTTAGCCAGGTAGCAAGCTAGCTAAGATTGGTTCAGGTGGTAGCATATTATAAGGCAGCATTGCACAATGTGATGCAAATGTGACAGGCATTTTCCATTCAGAATTGCTTGGGCATGGTAGAACTGCCATTTAAAATAGCAAGTGCCTTAAATATACTTATATATTTCCATTTTTCCTGTGTGTGTGTTTTTGTTTCAGTCATTCATATTTCACACTACGATATAGACACTAACCATTCCATGTGCAAAGGTACAGGTATTTTACAGTTCTCTTTCCATAATATTACAATAGTATTACAGACACCTTATCACTAAATGTACCAAGCCATATGGAATAAATTACTCTTAAGTTTCTCTTATGTTGTACTTCTCTGTCATATATGCATGTAATTACTAAAACGCAATCAATAGCTGAAATATGCCTGGTATTTCTCACATTAGGTGCAATGTACTTAAATGTTGAACTTGAAAATTATGCACCAAATATTACTTATAAGTACTACATGTTTGACATTAAAGAGAAAGTACATGTTTGACATTAGATTCTGAGTAAGGTACTGTTGTATATACCTGATACTTTTCATATAGTCACTATGTACTTGTAAAGTCTGTACCAGCCACCTTCAGGTTATACCTTTCAAACACAAAATTCTTGCTTTAGAAAGTATTGCGACACCTTTGTAAGAGATAAGCAGGAATGTTCAGAATGTATGTAGTGATGGTTACATTATTCTTTTTGGCTAGAGTGTCTTTCTAAGCCAGGAGTGGTGAACTCTAGTCTTGGAGGGCTGGAGAACTGTACAGTTTGATGATTCTACTACTCAAACAAACCTGAACTCAGCATCTAACTGCCAGGTTGAGTAGGTACATTAATAGCAGGAAAATCACCAAACTGGGCTAGACACCAGCCCTCCAGAATCATAGTTTGCCACCACTGCTTTAAACACTGCGGCTAATTGCACACAGCTTGTGAGGGGAGGGGTTCAGTGTGAAGCCCACAGCTGGAGTGAGGTCCAGCTGATCCTCAGACACGCCTGGTGGAGGAGTGAAGCGGAAGTGTTGCAGGAGGGAGGTGAAGAAGAGGAAGAGCTCCATCCTGGCCAGACTCTCTCCCACACACACCCTGCGCCCTGAAAGCAGAGACATAGAATACAGAGATAGAATTACAGAATGATTTATTTGAACTGTAGATACATCAGGGTAAAGCATTCAAAATACCTGCAGAAAATGGCATGAAGGCATTTCTCTTGACAAATCGTCCCTGCTCATCAAGGAAGTGTTCTGGGTTGAAGGTGCTGGGGCTCTCCCACTCATTCTCATCCCTCAACACAGATGTCAATAGTGGGAACACACATGTACCCTGCAAAGAAGTAGAGCCTGTCACATTTCAGTGCATCTAACACATTCGGTCTACGTAGTAGCTTTGGGAAGGTCTTGTAGTCAGTTGCTTAATATTGGCTCTGTTTACACTTATTATTGACACCTGTATCGCATGATCAGATCATAAGTGTACAACAAGTACACTTATGATCTGAGACATGTAGCTGTTTACACCTGGCATTTCTCATGTCTTGAACACGTCTTGAATAACATGTGATCAGATTTCATGACTAGAGGAATGGTGGCACAGACATTTATTACATGAGTCTCTTGTTGCTTTTGTTGTCAGACAAATATTACACTGCTAGCACAACTTATAGACAAACGAAGAAGCTTCACAGCTGCTTTCTTGTCTACTCTGATCAAGTAGCTGATTAAGACAGTCCTTCATTTTCTTTTTACAGCTGTACTTACTGCTGCCCATTTATGATTAGATCGCCCATGACGCATGTAAATGTCAGCTGCAAGTGAAGTCTAGCCTGCTAACACACTTGTGAAAATGGTATGCCATGTTTTATTGTATTTAGTTATTGTATTTAGATTCGTTTAACATCATAGGCCAACCTTCTTGATGAAGAATCCCTGAAAGTGAACATCACAAGCAGTGGTGTGAGGGAGACTCATGGGCACTATGTTGGCCAGTCTCTGGATTTCATGGATCACTGCATCAGTGTAAGGCAAGTTCTTCTTGTCCTCCATCACTATCTGATGACCTCCAATCACCTTGTCAATCTCCTCCTGGACCTGGTCTGGAATCAAGAGAAATTTAAGTCTTAGCTTTGCATGAAAACAGAACTAAGTTTGACTTTCACTGTTCATAAATAAAAACAAAACAAGAAATTTGCACTTAAATGAGATATTATGGCAAGCAATTTGGCTTCATCACTATTTTCTACCTGTCATCAACTTTGGATTAGGGGTGTCAAGGTTTGACTTTCATAACACAATATGCTTGTCAAAAAATCATCACAGTTTCACAGTATCAAGGAAAAATTATGATGAAATAGAACAATCACCACAAACACATGCATTTAATTCAACATGTTCCATGTGTAAAATATAAATTGCCATGATCCTCGAAAATTACATTTTGAGGATTTTCTTTATCTTTTGAACAGAACATGTTTTACATTTTTGTTAGATGAAGGCTTTTAGTGTGTATAAAAAAAAAGAAAAAAAAAAGATTCTATAAATATTAGCCAAATTTCTTTCATGTTTTTAGATTTTGTAGGCCACTGTGCTCCACTGTGCTGTTTAAGGTAGTGGTTCTCATGAGGTTAATTTTGGGGGATCATGGACGGTAGCAGAAAAAAAATGGTAGCAGGAAAAACAAATAGATACATATATATACCTCAGTAATCTTCCACTTTATATTCAGGTAAATAGTGTATATTTAATTAGAGATTTTAATGTCAATTATGTGTGCTGTTATGGTTGAAAATGACACTCACTTATTCAATCACTTCTACACTAGCTTACACTGCTGCCACTTTTCTTGAAAAAGAGCTAAATTTTGTCTGCTTCACCCAAAAAGGGATATAAATTAAGGGGAATAAATTCACAAAAAGACTATATCCACAATACAAATTAATTTAGAGAACATGGATAATAAAATCACAGATGAAAGAAACCTGCCAACATGGTAATCGCTGTATTTTCAAACACAATGCATAGGAAGCAGCATGAGTAGAGATGAGACTGCTTCCTGCTAAAAGATTCACACAGCTCTCGTTTAAAAATATTAAATAGATATGCTATGCTATCACAAGTCACGACTAGCTAGCGAGCCAGAAGGCTAAACAACCAGTTTGAGGGATGGCTACTAACTTTAGCTGGTAAATTCTTTCACACATTTGAAAAAGAGGATGATGCTCTATTAACCACTTCAGCAACACAAAGCTAATCAACCGTTCAGCACTGACGCGCACAGAGTGCCCCTGTGGACACCTATACATCGCACTCATATGAGCTTGTTGAACAGCTCATTCCACAACTATGGGAATTGACAAGGACCTGGCCCCTCTTTTGTGTCTACATTTCTGGGAAGTCTTTCTACAACATTTTGGAGCGCAAAATCTCTGTGTATGAAATGAGCACACAAATTTGTGCCCATTCAGACAGATAAAAGGGCATTTGTGCGCCTAAATCCTGAAGAACCTAGACAATTATGTGTATATATAAACACGCACATATAGTCATGTGAAGTCATGTATACCCCATGAAAAGTTTAGACTTTTTCAGCATGCTTGGACATTGGACGTTAGGGGTGGGAATCTCTAGGCAACTCACGATTCGATTCGATTACGATTCAGATGGCTGCGATGCGATTATAAAACGATTATCGATGCATCTGAATGCATCTTTTTTTTTCTATACACCATTTCTATTTTCTCACTGTGTGAGGACTTGGTAGTTTTAAAGCAAAGTATTTGTAATGATCCATAATGTATTTACTTCAAATATCTTTTATTAATAAATCAAATGAAAGTGATGTGGCAAGTGAACTAGAAGGCTCTCATTCACTGCCTTTGGAGCACATGAGACGCTGCTGCCACTCATTTGCGATAAAATGTGCAGTGACGGTGAAATAAGATCCGTTACAGCCGTCCTACCTGTTTTTAGTGACTTTATAACTTTGGTTTTGGTCTCGTTGTAGAGAAAGGTTCGCTGGATCAGTAAAATATCTTCGAAACGTGACGTGTGCAGCATAGCGCGAAAGCCCTGTTTCGCAACAACTGAGAATTAGCGTGCAGACTGTAGGTCACCTAGCAACGATGCATTATTCGCATTCATAAGCAGCGCAGTTGTTTTCCTGGCAAGTTAAATCTGCAATGATAGACTGTCAAACAGTAAAAAGTCACAAAGATGAAGTCGCTTCTCTTCCGAATTTTCTCGTTCCACTTTAAATGGTGTCGCATTTACATTCAGCGCCTCAGTTAGAATTTAAGGTGGAACGGGAAATTTTGAACAAGAAGCTGGAGAATGAGAAGCAACTTCAGCCTCATAAGACAGCCGAATGTTGAGAGACATTTTACAAGAAACTGCTCTAGTTTTGAGGAAAAGTTTTCTGGCGGAAATGGGAGGAAAGTGGCTATAGCTAAAGCTTAAAGCAGAGCAAAGTAAATCTGCGCTCTCGTTTGTATTGTTTAGCCTATACTAGCACATATTGACACATACTGGACATTAAATGTTTGATTTTTGTTGAAAGGACAAAACGGCTCTTCTTATCATTTGGGTTGTGACTCCTGATCTAACCTGGCTTTTAATGCAGAGGCTGCCGGTCAGATTTTGCACTCATCCAGAAGTGTTTTTGTTGTGTGCCGCTGCAGACTGTCCGGGCGCTGCACTTACCCACTTCCAAGCTCCGCCTTCTGCGTTCCGTCAACATTACGTTATAAATTAAATATTTAGAAATATTTAGAATTTTTTGACATTTGTGAATCGATTCAGAATCGTTCACGACCACATCGCGCATCTAAGAATCGATTTTTTCCCACACCCCTATTGGATGTACTGATCTGGTCTTCATTTAAACAATGTTGATAGATATAGGTGATATAATTTAATAAGTGATACCTGAAATAAAAAAAAAAATTGTCATCATTTATATAATAATGTGTCAAATTGAAATCAGGTGCCAATAATTAGAACACCATTCGAGAATATATTGGAGGATCTTGTCTTCTTTAAACCTCAGATATCTGGTCTGCTCTTTGTTATTAGAGTTTGGGGTACCATCATGCCTAGATTAAAAGAGCTTCCTGGGGATTTAAGCAAGAAGGATGTAGATGCCTATGAGTCCAGGAAGTGGTTTGAGAAAGTGTTACCAAAATATTAGAATTCAATCCTTCATCTGTCTGGAAGATCATCTACAAGTACAGAAGTTTTAAAACCATCTCAACCCTATCCAGGCCAGACTGCCCCAGCAAACCATAATATTTATAAAGAAGTTTTTAAGAACCTCAAAATTTCATCACAGGATCTGCAAGTAGCTCCTGCCACAGTGGATGTATGATAAGTATGAAAAGTGCATGCAGCTACAATTAGAATGAGACTGCACAAATTTGAGCCTCAGGGGAGGTGCACAAGGAGACAGTATTTGTTGTCTAAAAAGAACATCAGGGCAATACTAAAGCTTGCTAATCAATATCCAGGAATTCTGGAACAATGATCTGTGGACAGATGAGTCATTGGCCTCAGTACCAGAAGCCATTTTTGGTGAAGCCCAAAGACTACATTTGATCATACTGTAAAGCATGATGGGAATGTTATGTTTTGGGGCTGCTTTGCTGCCTCAGGGTCTGGCCAACTTGCAATCATAGAATCGACTATGAATTCAGTTTTATACCAGAGAGTGCTTAAGGAGAATGTGAGGCCACCTGCCAAAAAGTTGAAGCTGAGGAATGGACCTTCCAACAGGAAAAAAATCACAAACGTAAAAGTAAATCCACCATAGAATGGCTCAAAAGGAGAAGTGGAGGGATGTAGAATGACCTAGTCAAAGCCCAGATCTGACTGAAATGCTGTGGGGGATTTTACTCTCCACTCCTCCATGTATAAGGGGGGGTTTCTCCCAGTAGGTGCCAGAAACTGGTTGACAGTTATAAGAAATGCCAATATAAAGCCATTTCTGTCAAAAAGGGCAATACCAGTTACTGATGCCATGGGTGTACTTACTTTTACAACAGAAAAAAATGACATCAGTTAATTTATTTTTAATGAATGATTGCAAAGTCATATTTTCTTTGTTTTTGTTCTGTTACATAAGTAAGTACACTCTATGAAATGTTTTGTTTTTTAACATCATAACTTGTAGATGGGAATAGATGAACATGGATTTTCATCTGCATTTTAGAGAAGTTAACGGTGAGGTCATATACTCTGACTTACTGTAATAACTCTACTTTGGATATGAATGCAGCATTTTGCATTCTTACCCTGTACATGAGGATACTTGGCCATTAGGAGAAGACCCCAGCGCAGGGTTGTGCCAGTTGTGTCAGTACCAGCAGCAAACAGATTGGCAATGGTGAAAAGGAGATTCTTTTCATGGAATGGGGTGTTCTTCTCTCCACATTTCTAAGCAAAAAAACAAAAAAAACAAAAAACAAATGGATCACCAGTCAGCCAAGGTAACAGCCCAGTGAGAAAGTACATGCACAGAATATTGCAAATGTTCTCTTGGGTATGACATATGTAATTATATTATTTGTGGCCAATGAAAGACAGAAAAATGAAACATGCAGTTAGGTTTTGTCACCACTAAAAGCTTCTCCTCACAATATCTCAAAATAATTTCTACATCTTGATGTTCAATTATTATTAAAAACATGCCAGTCAAATATTCTGAACGTAGTTTTTTTTTTTTTTTTACCAAAACACAAGAAAGATGTACAGAAGTACTACACAGACACCACAAAAGATATCAGTGTCATATAGACAAAACCCTCATTCTTCACTTCAAGCTTTTTTGCACTAGCAAAGCCATACCTCCGCATTCTGTTGGCGTACAAGAAAACAATCGACCAGGCCTCTGCAGTCCTGAGGATTCAGTGTCTTCTGCAAACCATCCACAAGTTTGTATACTTCCTTGATATTTTGCTCATGGTTTCTCATGATGAGTTTCCAGTTCTTTAGGCAGGAACGAAGCCAGGGAAACATGTTGTACAGCTGGAGGTACATTCATATATTAATATTCATTTGTCAAGTGATTATCTATCTTTGTGTAGGATCACAGTACAGATGTGAAAATCAGTGCATATTAGAAATTAGTACATAGGGGCCCACTGTTTAGATGCAGAAGGGTACCTGTATAGAAGCTGAGCCAGAAAGCTTGATGCGTTTGTTGGCCTGGTTTACCATGTCTTTGAACAGAGGATCACTGTATTCAAACCTGCTTCCATACACAATGGCTGAGATGATATTTGAAACGGCATAATTCACTGGCTGTGTGGTATCAAACGGGTTTCCTGTAAGGCAGTAAGCAGCTTCCAATTAAAATTCCAAAGATTTCTAATCCATTACATTCCAACACATTCTCCAGAACATGCTATAAACATTAGCATAAGAATTACGAAAACGTTAGTATAAGTTGCTGTATATAGTGCTGTACTATAGAAATACTGCATGCTATTGAAAATGAATATTTCATGATGAAACAGCAGTCCTCTTTAAAGAGGGTATATTTATAATGAAACTAGATTAACGGGGCTGGTATCACCATGTACACCACTTGGCCAAAAGTATATGGACACACCTAATTATTGAGTTCAGGTGTTTCAGCCATACATATTGCTAAAAGATGTATAAAACCAAGCACATAGCCAAGCAATATCCATAAATAAACAGTAGAATGGACCGTACTGAAGAGCTTAGTGACTTTAAATGTGGCACTGCCTTTGCCACAGGGCAGTTCATGCAGGGCCGCAAAGTGCTGAAGGGCATAGCATGTAAAATTGTAAAATTTGCTTTTCCCCTGTCACACTCAGTGCCTCTAAAGCAACATCAGCACAAGAACTGTGCGTCAGGAGCTTGATGAAATGAGTTTCCATGGCAGAGCAACTGAACACAGGCCTAAGATCACTAGGCACAATGCCAAGCGCCAGCTGGAGTGGTGTAAAGCACACCACCATTGGACTCGGGAGCAATGGAAATGTGTTCTTTGGAGTGATTAATCATACCTATAGAAATGCATAGTGTTGAAGTATATTTTAAAAAGAAACCTTTGATAGAAGAAGGTAAAAACACTCTTTCAATAAGTTGAGGTGGTAGTATCTAGGAGTTCCCTGTGTGCTCTGTTTGTGCAGGGGCTAGGAATGTGAATTGGGGGGCCCTTGGTCTCTTAGGTTCAAATAGATGAGGTCATGTTAAAAAGAACCATATGCTCTGTCTCCTGTTTCAACAACAAGAACCATATATATATGCTGTTGGTCAGTCTGTTCGGGAGGGGACATTTAGAATTGGCACAGATCCTCTCTCAGGTACTCTATAGTGCTTGATATGATACTGTTTTACTATGTAATAAATCTTTTACTGGCAACTCAGTATCAGCGGAGTTTTTCTTCACAACATCTAAACACCATCGCCACTAAATAAACAACAAGAATTTGGCGTCACGAACTTCGGAGGTGTTGTGGCTGGCTGCGTCGCCGACAGCCTCAGTGCGCTGACTCCCGCTCCAGGCCGGCTATTCAGGTGAGCGCTGGGTTTTTTCGTTGAGGCTGTTGGATGTTTGCTGTCTAGCTGCACCGTAAGGACTGTGTGTGGGGGCGATGCTGTGTTGATGTTTGGAGTGCTTCTCCGTTCTAAATTGGGGTTTATTGCGTTGTGCACGCCGCAATAAAAGGGGGGAGTATAATAGTGAAAAGGAAAGCTGATGCAAAAGTGTAGAATAGCCTAATTAGTAACGATAAAGTGAGCTAATTAACACCATGCAAGATTAATAAAGGTTGGGCCCTTATCGTCTTAACGGTAAGACATGTGTATATCGGTCACTGCGTGAAAGTTGGCTCAGAGAAATAGTCGGATCAGGTGAGAAAATAAAAAGGGGGAACGAGAAGTGAAAAGTAAAAGCCCAGGGCCCTGGGGAATTAGATTAAGGGGAAAATAGTTTACTGGGAAAAAAAGAAGTTAAAGAAAATAGAAAAGAGATGTGAAGAGTTAAAAAGAATAGAAAGGATAAGAGTTAAAGAGAATAAAAGAAGTTAAAGAGCATAGAGATGATATGAGTGAAAAGAGAAATAAGAAAAGGGAAGAGAATAGAGATGATAAGAGTTAAAAGTGAAAAGGAGCCGCAGATTTGGACCAAAGCCCTCTGGGAGGCGGTTTTAGACGGGCCTAAAATCCTGGAAAATCACTAGGTGAATTTCTGGGTCAGTTCTAAGGAACTGGAGGTGTGGAAGGGAAAATTCAATTATAAAGTTCCCACTCGAACACTAGTTGACGAACAGTGTCTGAAGCAGCTTTTTATTGAATATTCACACCTCATAAAGGTAGCATAAATTTAGAAGAAAAAGAGAAAAAGGAGCGGCAGGAAAAAGCATGCTATAGGATAAATGTTTTGTTCTGTGTCTTCTGTGTCTGTGAGAGCGCTGTGTGTGCTTCTGTGTGAGGGGGATTGGCCCCCCCCTTACTGGGCGTGTGCGGAGCTGGCTTCTCCGTATGCGTAAATGTATGTGTGTGTGTGTGTGGTGCTTGACTTGGAGGTGCTCCAGCTGTGTGACTGGCTTTAAGAATGTATAAATGATCAAATATGAACCTCTATGAGAGGGCATTTCTCTGATATCGTTAATATCATGAGCTTTCCTGGGGGACATTGTTAGATTTAAGATTTAAGATAAAGTTAAGATTTATGAGCCTCATAAAGAATAAGAGGACTTTTATAAATTAGTATACATGAGCCTCATTCAGGGGACTTGATAATAATAAGCTTCATGAGCCCCCAAGAAGGACGTTTATAATTTTGGAGATGAGTGGAGAGACCAGTGAGGATGTTTGTGTGTGTGAGTGAAGAACATTGAATGAGTATGTAAGGTGTTGGAGTGAAATAAACTGAAATGTCTTTTTTGATGATAATTTGGTGTTTAAAGGAGGAAAACATTTGTTATAGATAAAAAATGATATAAGAGTGGGCAGATAAGGGGCGTAAATCATATTGGATAGTTTTTGTGTGGTCCATAATACCTAGTGGGTTCATTTGATACTTGATTCTGATCTGTTTTTTCCTTTGTCCGCCTATGGTGTGTGAGGATTGGAGGGGACAGAGCTCCAGTGCTGACACGGATTGACCGCATACCCATCTGGCTCCAATCTGATTAAGGCCAGTGTGTTTTATCCACAAAACTCTTTTTGACAAATACCTGCAGTTTAAATATATGTATGTATGCTTATTTATAGTCATTATTGTTGATATATATACAATCTGCTTCATTTATAGGCTATTATAAGAATATTTCTCTATTTGGGGGTTAAAGAGTATAACTATGTGTTTATATGATACTAGGGGCTGTAGTTTAAGGGAAAAAGAGAGGTTTGGCAACAGACTGACTGTTCAATGCATTTAATTAATTAAGGCAACATACTTATTTGGTTTAAACTCTGTTAAGAATGGCAAATATGAGTTTTATTGTTTGTGCATGGTTTATTCTGATTTGAGCGGCACGGGGGATTCAATGTTGAGACTATTGGATGCTTTAAGGTGCAGGGGTTTGAACATTGGGTGATAAATAGGTGATTGTCTTGCTGCAAATAGGAACACATCGGGTGATAGCTGGTCCCTTGTGGGTGTGTGATTACTTTGAGCTTTGTATAGGATTAGATTTTTATTTGTTGGATATTTGAGGAAATTTTATTTGCAATTAGGCAGATTATTTGTGTGTTTGGTCCATATTATAGGTGGATTTATTGAAGTGAATTGCTAATTACATTAATGTTTCCGATTTCTTTGGAGTTGGCAAATTTCTTTCATTTTTACTGATGTGGTAAATTAGTGGTTTGAAAAAGAGAGAAAGGGAGAACTAATTTTAATTTTAGTAAATAGTCTTAATTCACAATAAGGGAACATAAGGGAGTAGTTACAATGTCGACAAAGGACATTAAAATTACAAAAGTAATAACGCCTGTTGATGTAGTGCAGAAGAATAATCCTTTAGTTAAAGGCATTGCAAAGATATCGGAGAAATGGCATAAGCGTTGGTCTGAAATTGACCAACCATGGCCAGTGGAGGGGACCCTTAACCCAGATGTAATTAAAACAATGCAGGTGCTTGTGTCCACATATAAGGCAAATCAAAAGAAGGGTAAAAAGGGGGAAAAACGTAAAGAAAAGAGACAAATAGAGCTTGGTATTCTCCAGTTGTTTGAAAACGAGGGACAGAAAAGGATAAAAGCGGCTAAAGATAAGAGAGATAGAGGTGCAGAAGAAATAGGAGAAAATGTAAAGGAAAGAGAAAAATTAATGGCAGAAATTAAAGCACCTTTCTCACATATGGATCCAGTAAAGAGACCCCCACCTTATGAGAAGGAGGTGAAGTTTAAGGAAATCTATCCCCAGCTCCCATTGATCAGCCAGGAAGGTGAATATCGCATCAGAGATGAGGATGACCGGATAATTGAAACAGGTCAAGCGGAAACAACTATAAAGATGTATCCAAGTTCCAAAAGTAAGAAGAAAATGACACGGTTGGAAACCAAGGGGGAACTGAGGATCAGGAGGATGGAATCGGGAGATGATGGCGATCAAAGTGACCTGGAAGGGATCATGGGTGGATATGACCCTGCAGTCAGGCGAATATTGATGAGAGCGGAACAGAGGGGAGATAAAACATGGAGGAAAGAGGACTTAGGAGATGATAGTTCTAACGAGAGCGAGGATGGAGACAGTGATGAAGACTCAGAGAGTGAGGGTCTTTTGTCTTCGAAAGGGTTTTTTCCAGCGGCATCTAGTACCAGAATAGGAGAGGATAAAAAGAGAGCTTTAAGAGAGGTTGAGAGAAGTATAGATCAATGCCTTTCGTACTTGGATAAATCCATTAAACCAGAAAGCCGAAAAGCACTGGAGAACCAATTAAAGGAGCTGCAAATTCAGAAGAAAGAGTTGCGGAAAGGAGGCTCCCAAAAAGTGGATGTGAAATATGCACTGCGCACAAGAAAAGGGAAGACACACGAGAAGATGTGTCCAGTGGTCATCCGAGGACAGAGCTTGGAATACAAGCCTTGGCAAAACACAGATATGTCAGATATACTTGAGAAGTTACCTACTCTTCAGGATGGAGCACATCCTTGGATTTCGAAGTTGGAAGAGATCATGGTGGGGACACAGCCTGCAATAGGAGATATTAAGAGACTTTTGGCTAATCTCCTTGGAGTCCCAGCCATGGAAGAGATTCTACAGAAAGCAGGACTTAATCGATATGTGGGGACTGCTGTGAATGATCCGGAGCTGTTTTCTGCAATTAGAGGTCGAGTATGGAGAGCGCTGAGAGATACATTTCCGACAAATGTACATCCTGATAATATTCTTATTGAGCCACTGGGACAGGAAGAAAACCCAAGGGCCTATGTGTCAAGAGCCCATCAAGTGTGGAGAAATGTTACAGGAAATGACCCGGATTTGAATCAAATGGAGCAGTCAATTTTCCCCTACCAGTGAGGAGTAAACTGGCAGAGGTGGTTGGTCTTGGAAGTATGGCAAAGGGTGTTTATACGGATCACATAGCCCATCAAGTGGAGCTATATAGGAAAAAGGAACATGACCAGAAAGAACAGGACCAAGAAACCCTCAGAAAACTGAATCAAATACAACTGGTGGATAACAAGAAGAAAGAGAAGAAGCAGGCTTTGGTTATACAGAGTCAGTCTCCGCAAAATCAACCATTACCACAACCGCAGTCGAATCAGGTTCAGCCCCAGTCGTTTCAGCCATCATTGGTGGTTCCAGTGGCTGCCTCCCCACAGCCAACTTTGGGTCAAGCGCAGACCTGGAGAGGAAGAGGTCGAGGAAATTTAGGAAGAGGAAGAGGAGGAAGGTTTAATCCAAATTTTCAACAGTCCTTAGAAGTGTGTTATAATTGTGGACAGTTTGGCCACTTTGCTCGTGAGTGCAACAGACCAGGAGGAAATTTCAGAGGAAATTTCAGAGGAGGCTTCAGGGGCCAACCAAGGCCATTTGGGGGACCGGTGAACCCTTATAGGGGTCCAGAACCGGGATTTTAGAGGTGCCCAGAGGACCCGAGAGGGGGGTGTCAGCTGGTAGCATCAGGGCCGGAGAGAGATCCAACAATAAAGGTGAAGGTAAATAATCGACCATTGGAAGTGATGGTGGATAGCGGAGCTGCGTTCACCTGTATTCGGCCTGAAGAAGCTATACATCTCCCCATGTCTGGCCAATGGATTCGGACAATCGGGTTTGAGGGAGTGAAACAGCTGATTCCTCTCACAGAACCAATTGAGCTCTGCTATAAAAATATGAAGACGACTTTACCTATACTGGTATCAGAACATACACCTATTGCACTTTTGGGAAGAGATGCTTTGTGCAGATTGAACTGTACAATAAAGTGTACACCTGACGGCTGTCTGGTGGAAGTGCCAAATGATATTGCTCACCAATTATTGATGACAACGGAGACTGAAGCGTCTTCAGTATTTTGGATTGGAAATCTTAGTGCAGATTTTTTGGAGCCAGCTAAGTTGTGGGAGAAGTTTCTTGTAGCGAACATGCCTGATGCGAAGCTTCCAGAGTATCCATTTCATTGCACGCTCAAGTATTTCAAGGATGCGGCTCAATCAAACTCGGAGGAATGGTTGAGTTGTCAACCAAAGCAAGTTCAGCTTCGGTCATGCTGCATAATTTTGGGACCACAAGGAGCAGCTATGAAGATAGATAGAGATGATTATTTGGAGAAAGAGTTTGACATTGAGAAGAGTGTGCCACATGTGACTTTGTTGGTGGCTGAAGAATATGAGCAGAAGCACATAGGAGAAATGATGGTAGAAGCAGAGGAAGCTGTTTTTGAACCAGTGAAAGAGAATCTTGCCATCTGGAGGAGTAAGGATCAGCGGTTTGTTAAGATTATGATTACTGCTCAAGGACAGGGACAGCCACAAACTGTGCGGATGACACATGAGTCAATTTGCAGTGTTAAGATGGATCCAGACTCTTTGAAAGAAGAGATGTTGCAACAAGTTCCAGAATGTTTGTGGTCGCGGCATAGTACTGATATTGGACGTGTGAAGTCAGCCCAACCAGTGAAAGTTGAACTTCGACCAGGAGTTAAACCTCCTTGGAAGAACCAGTATCCACTGAAAGAAGAGGCAATCAGAGGGATTGAACCACAGATTGAAGGACTTGTGAAAGCAGATGTTTTGAAGATAACACAGAATCCTCAGAGTAACACGCCTTTGCTGCCTGTGAAGAAGCCGGATGACTCGTATCGCCTGGTACATGATTTGAGAGCGGTGAGTGAAGTGGTAGCTGATTTTCCAGCAGAAGTGCCGGATCCGCATACTTTGTTAGCCCAAATTCCTCCAGATGCGACACATTTCACAGTGTTAGATTTATGTGGTGCATATTTCAGTGTTCCACTTAGCATAGAAAGTCAGAGTTTATTTGGGTTTACATACAATGGACAGTTCTATGAGTATAAGAGATTACCACAGGGATTTAAACATAGTCCTCATATTTTCAATAAAGTATTGAAGGATGATTTGGTAGGGATAGATCAGCTATTAAAAAGTACAGTAGTACAGTATGTGGATGACATTATTATTTGTTCACCAGATGAGGAAACATGTCATAAGGATTCAGTTAAATTGTTACAGATATTGGCAGAAAAGGGACACAAGGTCTCTTTGAAGAAGTTGCAGTACTGTCAGGAGAAAGTAGTTTATTTGGGTCAGACAATAACGCAGGGACACAGAAGCATTTCTGATAGTCAGTTGGAAGCTATTCGCAAGGTGCCTAAACCCAGAACAGTCAGAGAGATGATGACATTTCTTGGTATTGCTGGTTATTCTTCAGCATGGGTAGAGGATTATGCTAGTTTAACAGGGCCTTTGAGAGCTATGATTAAAGATACTGGGAATGCTCAACTTCATTGTAACCTTTCTTGGACACAGGATGGCCTTTTGGCATTTGAGACGATCAAACAGAGGTTGCAAGAGGCTCCAGCGCTAGCGCTTCCGGACTATTCTAAGAATTTTTTGTTATATGTGGCTACTTCCACTGGGGGTAAATATGCATGTGCAGTTCTTTGTCAGCCAACAGGTATGGGGACAAATCCTCAACCTATTTCTTATTATTCTACTGCTTATTCAGAAGTAGAGCTGGGGCTACCGCTGTGCTACAGAGCACTGGTGGGAGTTTTTTTAATGTATGAGAAAGCATCGTCTGTCACAATGGGCTATCCAGTGACAATTCTTACCCATCATAGTCTTAGAAATCTCTTGAATTATGGCAAATACACATTGACTATGTCTAGACTTAGAGACTATCATAGGCTCTTGGAGCAGGAAGATGTTACCCTAGTAAGGTGTGTCACAGTGAATCCAGCTGAGAATTTGCCAACTCCAGAGGATGGTGAACCACATGATTGTGTTCAAGAAGCAGAGAAATACTCGAAGCTTAGATCAGACTTGCAAGCCCTCCCATTGCGTGAGGCGGACTTGGAGTATTGGACTGATGGGTCCTGTTATCGTGTGGGAGATAAATTGAGTGCTGGTTATGCAGTAGTAAAAGCCCAAGGGACTGAATTTGTCGTTGAGAAGGCTGGAGTAGTACCACAGCCTGCATCCGCACAGCTTGCTGAACTTGTGGGATTAACTGAAGCATGTTTATTAGCGGAAGGTAAGCGTGTGAATATATATTGTGACTCCGCCTACGCTCAAAATGTGTGTCATTTATTTGGAGCGGTGTGGAAGAACCGAGGGTTTAAGAAAACGGATGGTTCTCCAATACAGCATCACCATCAGATAATGAAATTGTTGCAGGCTATGATGAAGCCTAAAGAAATAGCGATAGTTAAGTGTGCAGCACATAAAATGGATGTGTCGAAGGTCACACAAGGGAATAAAGCGGCTGATGAGGCTGCCAAAGCATTTGCAGGAGCTGATAAATGGGGCAAAGTGTTTTTGGTCACTCATGAAGTAGACGTGAAAGACAAAATCACACTTAGAGATGTGATTTTAATGCAGGAAGCTGCTCCTGCAATGGATAAACAGTTGTGGCTAGACCGAGGTGCCACTCAAGATTCTACTGGTCTTTGGAGAAATCATGAGGGGCTGATAATAGCACCTCCAGACCTGTTAGGTCTGATGATTCAGGAGGCGCATGGGCTAGCTCATGTTGCAAGGGGGGAAGTCAGACGAAAGATTACAAAGGAGTATGGGTTTTGGGCACCATGCTTGCTTGAACAGATTGATTATGTTATAGGCAGATGTACTATCTGCTTGAAAAATAATGTTCGAAGGGGGGTGATGGTTCCTCCTGGTTACATTCCAACTCCGAGGGGTCCTATGCGTGAGTTAGTTGTGGACTTTGTTGACATGATAAAACCAGTTGAAGGTAAGAGATACATGCTAGTTGTTGTGGACAGATTTTCGCATTGGCCAGAAGCGTGCCCAACCAAGCGAAAAGACGCTCAGTCAGTTGCTAAGTTTCTGTGTAGAGAGGTCATAAGCAGGTGGGGACTTCCAGATCGGATATCCTCAGATAATGGAAAAGAGTTTGTGGATAAGACGATGAAATTGATTTTGCAAAAATTGGGAATTAAACAGCGTCTTGGTGCAGTTTATCATCCGCAAAGTCAAGGGATTTGTGAAAAAATGAATGGGGTTCTGAAAAATCGTATTGTTAAAATCTGCCAGCACACAGGTTTAAATTGGGTAGCGGCACTGCCGCTGGCGCTAATGGTGTGTCGCTCAAGTGAGCTGCGTGATTTGCATATGACACCTCATGAGTTGGTCACAGGAAGACGAATGCCAACGCCTTGTTTGCGTACAAGTGGAAAGGGTCCAAGCGTAGCCCTTTTGGAAGATGAAATGCGAGCGTACGTTAAATATATGGCTAATTTGCATAAAAGAATATATACGTACGTTTCTGACAGGCAAAGAAAAGAGGAAGCTGAGGAGAGGCTTGATGAGCAAAAGAGGAGCACAGTGCAACCTGGAGACAAGGTGTTCGTGAAGGTGTTTAGAAGGAAGTGGTATAACGAACGCCGTGAAGGACCATTTGAAGTTGTTCGCAGTACGGGAACGGCGGTCCAGGTTAAAGGGTCTCCAACGTGGTATCATTTATCGCATTGTGTTAAAGCGCCAAGGGAAGAGGCGCCACGCTTACAGGGAAGAGATGTTGAAGGCTCAAGAGAGCCAGGAGAAAATGGGGAAGAACATGCAGAAGAAAAAGAGATGCATACAGATCTCCAGAGTCAAAATCCAGAAGAGGAGGGTGTCCAGGTTGTTGACAACGTTGATGATTCTATGTACTTTTCTGATGATGCCAGAAATGACTCTGCAGTTAATGGACAGGAAAGAAGATTTGGTGACATTGATTTTCAACATGTCCCAGAAACAGCAGAGCCTATTTCAGTGGAGAGCGAAGTGCCAAAGGTTTCAAAGGACTGTGATTCTGCTGCAGGAGAAATCAGAGATTCAATTAGACGACGAAGTCCAAGACCAGTTCGGAAAAGGGTCAGACCAAAACGTTACGAGGACTAGGGCTGAAAAGACCTTAGGGAATTCTACTTTTTTAGCATTGAAGGTTACTGAAGGTATAAATATGTCACAGTTACTCACGTTGGCGCCTCAAATGATTGCGACGACATCAACCCCGTTGAAGACAGTAGTCAGAACTAAGTTAGGAAGAGCGGTTTCTCTCCCCTGTAGATGTGGAAGATTTAATGTGGGTGGTAATAATCCTCCTATGTGGAAAAATAGTCGTGGTGAAGATGTGCTGTTAACAGGACCTGAAGTTGATATGGTGCCTCGTGATCAGAGGAAGTATCTGTTGTTTAATGACTGGAGGTGGTTAAAAGTTAGAGATGATTGTTCACTTTTAGTGCGTAATGTAACATGGGAAGATCAAGGGGAATACACATGTACTTATTTTGAGCCAGAGTTGAAATTTGTTCCATTTCAAAATGTGTGGAGAGAGGGTTATATAACGCGTAAGGTAGTGGTTGTGATAGAAGATTTGAGTTCTTCGGGAATTTTCAGGGTGGCTACAAGAGTCACCACAGCAACCACTCCAAGAGTGAATATTACATTGAGGAAGCTTACTACTTTAGCTCCGGAAATAACTAAGAATGTCAATATATCAATTCAGGCTGTTACTTTAGCTACGATTTTGAAGGGGATGAATGCTACTACAGAGAAGATGCCAATTTCTTCTTTTGTTACTGGGGGAAATAGTATAAGTGAGGTTGGGCTAAAGGCAACCTATGCTAATAAAACAGTGACAACATCTCTGTCACCTAGGAAAGTTGTAAATATAACACAGACACCTGGTATGACATTATTGAACTTTAAAGAAAGAGTAAATATAACTCAGAAACCTAAGCTAAAAATAGAGCTTAGTGCGAATAGTAGTAAGGAGATTTTGGAACCTAGAGAACAGAAGGTGGAAGAGCATGATGCAGATTCATCTGTGACAGCTCAGAGGACTATTTTAGACGAGGAAGAGGGGTTTGTTGACTTTGACTGGACACCAGAGGACATGACTAACCAGTATCGTGTATTACAGAAGAGAGAAACTAAGTGGAAGGCATATGGATTTGATTCTTCGGTGTTACAAATCGCAGACCCATGGGCAGGTAGGAACTTATGGTTCCAGCAGTTAACTCATTCTGTAAGATCGGTTAGGAAGCTGAATTGTCCATGTGTGGTGAAAGTTCCAACACCAGGCACATGGCCTTCAATTTTAGAAACGGTACCAGAACCATTAAGTGCTAAATGTCAATCATATGCATTATCGTGGCTGTTATATCAGCAGCAAGCAGCAGAAGATAAGGTGATGGCTCTGTCAGTGCATCTGTTTAGACCTAAACATAATTGTTCTTGGTTGGGAGAGTTACCATATGTGAATTTACTTGATCAGCATGAAAATATGATAACAGCGGTCCCTGATCCGTTGGAAGTGAAATTTGTGGGGGCTAAAGACTGTTTTTGTTCAGATGGTACTCATAAGGGGCCTGGAAAGTTTATGGGGATATCAGACTGTAACAACTATATTATGGACTTGGGTGAGCATAAATATGAGGCTATGAATGACTTGTATAAAGTGACTTTTCAGGTACCACATCGCAAACTGAGTAGAATTTTGATGGTGCGGAACCAAAAGTTGCCGGGAAATGTAACTATAGGGAATTTTAAGGATATTTGGTGGGTTTGTGGTGATAAGGCATATATATTCCTAGATAGGATGCTGTTATATGGCGATGTTGAAACTGCCATATGAGGTTTTTACTGTCCAGAAGGGAAAAGTTTCTGATGAGGTTCAATCTGAGGCTATTTCAGGAAGTAGGAAGAAAAGGGAACTAGCACAATTTCATAATCTGGAGTCCTATCATTGGAGGATAAGCCTAGGAGAGAAGTGGGGTATAGGATTATTTCCATGGTATGGGGTGACATTTTTGGCAGATCACATTGATAATATTACCTACACCCTACAGGGTTTTGCAAATGAGACTATAAGAGGTTTTGAATACTTGTCAAATACTCAAAAGAGTCACAGACTGACGCTGCTGAAACATGACATGGCTCTTGATTATCTTTTGGCCAAACAAGGGGGCCTATGTGTGGCTCTAAACTTAACTGGTGATGCTTGTTATACTTTGATTCCTGATAGTTCTGACAATATGACTAGTGTCATAGATGCATTGAAGCATATAAGGGATGCGTTTGGCCCATCGGAAGGAGCTGGATGGTTGGCGAATGCTTGGTTGCAGGAAAAATTAGGACCATTGGGAGCAGTGTTGGTTCAGATTATGGTAGCAGTTCTTATATCATTGAGTGTGATGTTCTGTTGCTGTACATTGGTGTTAACTTTTGCGAAGGCAATGATATTGAGATGGGTTGGAGTTGTGATGCCTGGAGATCAGGTTCAGATGCCATTATTACATAGGACTGACATAGACGATGACGAAGAAGTGGTGATAGAAGGTGAACTGATGGAGAAATATCCATTTTGAATATCTATTCTTATTATAATCTTAACATTTATTTCTTTTACTATTTAGGGTATTTAGTAGTCTCTTACTATAGAGTGGGATGATAGTAGAGGGAAATGAAAAAGGGGATTTATAACTGAGAATAATGTGAAAGTATGATACTGTGAATTTCACATGTACTTATAAGGTGTTAACCCATATGTGATGTTTCAATTTGCATCTGTTGTTTTTGCAAAAGATACTGGTTGGTGGTTTTCTTTCTTTTCCTCAAGAACAATGCTGGGGGAAGACAACTGCAAGAGTGGCTGGATCTTCAGGGACCCTGCTGTTCATGGACAATAAGATTGGACTGAAGGACTTTAAATAAGGACACTGTGATACGATGCCCAGAGTCAACACATCATCGACACTACACTGAGAGTCGACACTGCTGAAGAGTTGCAGTGTGATACATTGTTATGTCTTCATATGTATTTGCATAGTATTGGATTTTGTTATGTCATATAGTAAGGGGTGATATTGATAGAGGACATTTATAAGAAAGTGATAATCATAGTAAGACATACTAGTGGGATTGAGTTGTTTATTGCATGAGTAGTACTTAAAGTTATACTAGGCTCTTTGTTTAATTGTTTGAAGACGGATGTTTTCTGTTATGGGGTAAGTACATTGGGACCTCAGATGTTTTTTCTTTTTTCGGATGCTTAGGGATAGGGGTGTTAGGCAGGGAAAGGTCCATTGGAAGGTCCGATGGGTCGACCAGCCTGAATGTGGACATTGTTTTGATTTCATTTTCTGAGGTTTCCATATGTATTTGCTTAAGTCATATCCATATACAATTTGTCAGAATACCTCCTTTAAAGTGGTCTGGAGTACTTTATGTGGTCGCCTAAGGCAGAGGGGCCGTGAGAGAATTTTTCCTGTCTAGATTGTTTGAGGGATATTTCAGGAATGATAAGCTGCCGGACAGGTTTTTTCGCTCTCACACTCCAGGAAGCTGTTACATTGCTAAGGTTATGCTATAGGAAGAATTGTTATTTAGTTACAACTACAAATATGTATAAGCTACTTGTTTGTTTTTCGAGACTTTAAGGAAGTCTCGAAGGGGGGAAAATGAAGTATATTTTAAAAAGAAACCTTTGATAGAAGAAGGTAAAAACACTCTTTCAATAAGTTGAGGTGGTAGTATCTAGGAGTTCCCTGTGTGCTCTGTTTGTGCAGGGGCTAGGAATGTGAATTGGGGGGCCCTTGGTCTCTTAGGTTCAAATAGATGAGGTCATGTTAAAAAGAACCATATGCTCTGTCTCCTGTTTCAACAACAAGAACCATATATATATGCTGTTGGTCAGTCTGTTCGGGAGGGGACATTTAGAATTGGCACAGATCCTCTCTCAGGTACTCTATAGTGCTTGATATGATACTGTTTTACTATGTAATAAATCTTTTACTGGCAACTCAGTATCAGCGGAGTTTTTCTTCACAACATCTAAACACCATCGCCACTAAATAAACAACAGTGTCAACAATAAAGTCTGGTACAATTTTGGACAATCATATCCTTTCAGCTTTGTGGCAAAGGTTTGAGGAAAGCACCTCAACCCCATTAAACACCTTTGGGGTGAACTAGAACATTAACTGTGAGCCAGGCTTTCTTGTCCAACATCAATGCCTGACCTCACATATGTTCTTTTGAGTAAATAAGTACAAATTCCCACAGATACACACCAAAATCTTCTTGAAAGCCTTCTCAAAAGAGAGGAAGCTGCCACCTCCATATTACTGACCATGATTTTGGAATGGGATGTCCAAGCTCAGATAGATGTGATGGTCAGGTGTCCACATACTTATGTCCACACAATGTATTATAAACTTTATAATGATACAAATATAATTTTAAAGACAAATAAAATTGAAGAAAGACAATAAAAGATAATAAAAAAGATAAATGTGCATATATTTGTGTCATGGATGTACATGATACAAACTAAGAGACAAAAGTTATTCTACTTTTGACATCTACACACAAGCGGTCCAGCTAATAGTGAGTATCCATTGACTGAAATTTTTATTGCTTTACATACAGAAACTATTTGAAACGAAGTGTCTGGTGTACACTTAGTGACATGATTTTACCTTTAAACTGCTCAAACACTTCTCTCAAGTAACGCGTCTCTTCTATGATTTTCTCTTCACTCCCTCTTTTGCCCATCCCAAAGTCTCGAAGGGTGGAGAGAGAAAAGCGCCTCATTTCTTTCCAGTTCTCCCCATTGGAAAACAGAAGTCCTGTAATTGATCAAAATTCTTGTAGTTGATTGTTTCTTATTAATTTGTATCCCCAAAAAAATCTACTGTAAATGAAATTTAATTGCATTAGCTTCACAAAGCCCATTATATTTATATAGACCTGGAAAAAAGTTTACATGATTCAGTATTGTTCAAGGTGTTGTCCTTCTTTTTCTTTCTTTATATAGATCAGAGTTTCTCAACCACTGGGCTGCAAAGACCCTCTGGCGGTCCTTGGGACAATACTGAGGGGGAGCCAGTGGCCCAAAGTGGGCCAGTGTGGGAATTGCATTTATTCACAAATAATATATGTATAATTATTTCACTTTTATCTGTTTATGTTTTAATAAAGTTTGTCAAAGCAACTGAGCAGAACAGGTGTGTACTCTGTATAGGAAGCTGACCTTTCTAAAGACACTGGCCCTTTCGAACGATAACTTATTAGTTCAATACTTAAAGGCTACTCAATACCCAAAACAACAACAACAGCACACAAAGCGACTGTATCTCTTTTTAGCCGTTTGGCTCTAGAAAAATATATATAAACCCCAGGAGTTTCAATTGTTCACTCACAAACGACTGGTGTCCAAAAATGTTGCTGGAACATTCTGCTTAATTTGTCACCATTCTGTCACTATTCTTTTTTGGTATAAAAAGTTAGCCTAATGTGTTAATATTTTATGTTCAGTGTCGCACACTGTGGGACCTAAAAATCACTGTGCCAAAAACTTCCAAATAATTATTTAAGTAAGAATTAAGTGAAACCTATTTAAGTGAGAAAGTTGACCTTAAGGTGGAAAAGTGAAAGAAAACTTACACTGATCTAAATGATTAAATGATAAAAGAATGCTAAATTCATTTTTAAAATTGTAAAAAAAAAAAATCAAAGCACTACTTTTATCCTTAATAAATTAAATTACAAACAAACAAAATACTTTTTCTAAATGAAGTTTAATGAAGAGTAAAGAATTTTTACCGTATCCTTGGTTGAAATCATGGAATATGGGAGTGATGTCTCTGTCTCCAAACTCCTCTGCATGATTCACCAGGGCTTGCTTGACAGTTTGATATCCTGCCAAAACAACCACTTTCTTTGGACCAAAATACACAGTGAATATGGATCCATATTGTTTTGACATCTGCAAACAGAAACAGAAAATAACACAATAAAGGCCTTTATGCAACTGGTGTCTTTTCTTTCTACTTTATCCCATTTTGTTTTGAGTTTATAAAGCTCTAGAAGTGGTGTTTTTAAATTAAATTATATGATGTCTTGATTTCATATGAACATTTTATGCAATTTTATAGTGAGTGTTGGTCACATGACCAGAGCTATTTACTTCAAGCATGCACCTGAGAAAGATAATGATATCCAAATGTTACCTGATCTGTGGGGATTCTGACTATTGAAGAACAGGGTAAAAGGGGCTAACAAATTATGCATAGAAACAGATGGATTACACTCTGTAATTGTAAAACTACAAAGTTACATGGAGCTGATAAAATGGACACTGAATGTAGAAACACTATATGGCCAAAAGTTTACAGACACCTGCTCATCCAATGTTTCTTCCAGTATCAAGAGTATTATAAAGAAGTTTGTCCCCCTCTGCTTTAGTAACTGTCTCTACTCTTCGGGGAAGACTTAACACTAAATGCTGGAACATTGCTGTGAGGATTTGATTACATTCAGCAGCTGTAGGTGTAATGTGTAGTTGTCCCAATACTTCTGTCCACATAGTGTATTATTCCACTTTCACAATTAGTTTTCATCATTTTCACAGCCTCACGCCTCCTTAAGTTCAGTCTGAAGTACTCTGATAAACTTCATGAAGAACAAACAGATTGTTGTGATTAAACGACACTTATTTAGTCCACTCACCCAAAATGAGCAAAAATCAAGACACTCACTGAAAGGAGACTGAGGTAGGGTCTCTTGAGGTCAAGCTCTAGTAGGTTTCCCAGGATAGGCAGCGGTTTGGGACCTGGAGGTTCCTTCCATGCTTGTTGAGAGTCAGATGAAAGAAGATAAACAACCAGCAGCGACATTAATACAACACCAAGCAATATGCCTGCAGTGATAGGCTGCAGCAGAAGCTCTGTCACCAAAGCCATTGCCAAAGAAACGTCTTGGGAAAAATCTAATGAGCTCTGCACAAAGTGAGTAGAAACAAACAGACTGTCTGGGTTGCAAAACAGGTCTTTCAAGAGATTAGCACTCCTGTAAGAGCACTTGTGAAGAAGTGGTTGCACCAGAAGTGGAGCTATGTTTAAAAACAGAGCTATGAGAGAGAGAGAGAGAGAGAGAGAGAGAGAGAGAGAGAGAGAGAGAGAGATGGTAATAATTCACTCAGTAAATAGTAACTTGGTCGTGATGCCCTGCTATTTTCAGTGGACAGGGGTTCAGTTGTGTCACTTCATGATCAACTTTTCATGCAGTGGACTACAGGAACACACAAGACTGTCCAAGCTCTTGGATAACACAGATCTCTGGTCTGTAATAACAAAAAAGTATTTATTTTTTTTTTGTAAAAGCTTGCGGCACATCAGCAAATTCATCAACGTCCTCTATGCTATTCCTCTGAACAGCGTCACATTGTCACTCGATTCTTCTTCCAACCCATTTGCTTTGAGTTTCCCCTTCCTTATGCAAGTTTTTGTTTTTTTATCCAATCTTCTCAGAAATATGATTGATTAAAAAAATTGACAGCCTGTGCCTAATAGCCATTTTGACTGGAAATTAAATACATAAAGTGTGATCTCATTTTTTTTTCATCTGTTTTCCCATAATAATTTTCCACATTTGTTTTTCCTTGTTTCTTAATATTCAAATTACGTCTAACTTGACATTATGTACTTTTGTATTGGATTGAACAAAGTGCTCAGTTAACCAGAGGTTCACACTGCTCAGTGAGCTTGCACTTTGCTTTAATAAACACCACTGTCCATTTAAGGAAAAGATCCAGAAAGGTTTTGAATACAGTGCATACCCCCATATAAGGTAACATGTGGATATATGCCCATTTTAATGTGGGTTTCATGAGACACATTTATATAGACAATGCTTATTATATACATGCATGTTTGTTAATACGCATACACTTACTTAATATCAGGGTGTTTTTTTCTAATTTAAAACTTTTCTACATTTTTTCTATTCATGTAAAATTCAGAAACATGCTGTAAAAGGCCTCCTGATAGAAAACACTGCATATTTTATTCCCAAACACCACAAAACCTTTAGAGGATATGAGAGACATTAAGAGGAGATTTCCCTTTAACAAAGCCCCTGTTAGAAAACACCTTATCCACTCACAGTACAGCTCTCTTTAAACAAAATGATCCAAAATTGAATACTGCATTATAGTTCTTAATATTTTAAATTACATTCTATTGGAAAAACAAAAAATGCGTTTTAAGATTTGACTTCCCTTCTTCCAGTTCTTTAACAAAGTGTCAGCGACATCATGATAGTCATTTGTCGTCAACAGCAAATAAATAACAAGTAAAATACAAGACTAATTAAATATTTCAAATACAACATATATTATAAATGTACACGGTACCGTTATTTCTAACAGTGTGTGTATGTATGTACATATATACATACATACATATATATACTGCACAGGAGTTCTTCCATTCCTCCACCACTGCTCGAAGACCTTCAATTACTCAGTATTGTTTTTGGAATAATTGCAAGTAATTGCAGGTCATTCATATTTGGTGAGTATAGGTATTGGTATAAACGTCTTTTGCAAGTGAACTAGTTAAGAAGAAACATGGGTCTGTGACGGTAGTTTCAGAGATGAAATGTTGAGTGTGATATTATATACTAGTATATTTACAAGTACAGTTTAGAAGCTGGAATATTGTTTATGTGTATATTGTTCAAGAGTGATGGCTTGTGGGAAGAAGCTTCTCTGTAGCCTGGATGTCCTGATCCTTATTTGGCTGAAGCACCAGCCTGAGGGAAGGAGTTGGAACAGATGGTGGCCAGTATCATGATATATAAATTATCATGATACTGATTATATTTTGTATTTACTGAATATAACTTATTAGGAAAAATAATAAAACATAAAGTGAGGTCTGTGCAAATTTATGACATGTTTCATGTTTTTTTCTCAATATGTTAAATACAGGGTGGCACGGTGGCGCAGTGGGTAGTGCTGTTGCCTCACAGCAAGAATGGCCTGGGTTCGATTCCCGGCTGGGCGACCAGGGCCGTTTCTGTGTGGAGTTTGCCTGTTCTCCCCATGTCTGCGTGGGTTTCCTCCGGGTACTCCGGTTTCCTCCCACAGTCCAAAAACATGCAGTCAGGCTGATTGGACATGCTAAATTGCCCCTAGGTGTGTGTGTGAATGTATGTGTATGTCTGTCTGCCCTGCGATGGACTGGCGACCTGTCCAGGGTGTATCCTGCTTTCCGCCCAATGACAGCTGGGATAGGCTCCAGCACCCCACCGTGACCCAGAAGGATAAGCGGTTTAGATGATGTATGTATGTATGTTAAATACAAGAAATTGTGTTTTAGAATTTGCAGAAAATGCCATATTTTTTACAAGTTTGTTCCATGTAGAGAACAAGTTAACTTATTTTCACTTACAAAATCAACAAAACATAATTTGACAAAGTGTATTCAAACGTTTGCATAAGACTGTATATGAGGTGACTTGAGTAATCAAACTACAATGAATTACCACTGGTCCATGCCTGATCAGGGATCAAATACCATATGTTCACTCTTCTTTACTTCCCTACAACAACAAAAATGCAATTTGTGTTTATGCCAGCCTGTGTTTGCAGCTGGGACTTTGCTCTGGTGCAGTGTTTCATAAGCCAGGGTTAAAAGCAGCACTTTAATTACAAATAATAATTAAGGAGTGCTTTGATTACAAATTTGAAATGTTGTATAACATTGCAGGGTAAAATGAGGCCATAATCTCAGGTTTAAAAAGAGTTCAGCATAGTGTGAAAAATATATTTGTTTGTCTCATGTGACAAAGACAGGGTTGTCGCAGTATGGTTTGGCAGCAGTCATCTGAAGAAACATGACACCAAAAAAGCAAACCTATGCTGTGCAATGGGTAATACTGAGTAAATTGGGTGGCCGGCTTACGCAGTGTTACCTACTTAATAAGCATCAGGACTAGGGTATCACTAGCTAACACTAAGGTAAATATTATTACATACATAGACTTGTATAATAATAAACAATAAAACAATAAAACAGTAAAATAATAAACCTGGCCTGGAAATAAAACACAAACAAAACAATGAAGCAAGTTAATAAAACAACTGAAAAATGAAGAAAACAACTACAAATAATCAATTAAGATAATCAACTAAAACAACAAAAACAGAAAGTAGAAAGTAAAAGTTTAAAAACCCTGGGAGGAATGAGCAAGTTGAACTTAAGTGTGTTTTATACCATATTGTCACGCATCTGGCATGTTCTCACACAAACACGGGCTCCATCTCCCAGACTCCTCTGGGAGATCACATGACTGAGATACTTCCCTCAGAACCAGAGTATGGCTCGGACTCCGTTACCCAGAATGCTCCGGGGAATCACATGACTTCTGACTCTCTATCACGCTCCTATCAGTCTCTCAGTCACCCGAATACTAATAATTATCACCTGTGTGTGTAATCATATGATTCACAGAGTTTAGTTTATAAGCCCGGGCTGTAGTTAGGTCTAGTTGCGAGGTATTGTTTCTCTGTAAACTACTGAGTGTTCATCTTTGCTGTTTGTATCCTGTTTTTTTGACCGTTTGCTTCGTTTTTTGACTCTGCCATTTGTTCTATCCCTTTGTACTTTTGCTGGACTGTGTTTTGATTCGTGTTTTGACCTTTTTGCCTGCCTCTACGACTACGTCTTTTGCCTTGCCCTTTTGTGATTGTTTGTCTGGTGTTATGCTTATCATAACACTTCTGCTGTGTTTTTTGGATTTGACCCACGCAAGTTATTTGACTACGTTTTTGGACTGTGATTCTGAAAGTAAACCTGCTATTGTCCTTTTTATCTGCAAGCGTCTGGTTTCTGTTGATTCGTCACCTCACCGAACATGCAGACAATGGACCCGGAAGCCTTCCAAAAGGCTTTGAATGAACAAGGACAACTTCTCGGCTGACATCAGCAGGTCCTGTCCGGAGTGACTCACTCATTAGAGTCACTAGCTCACCAACAAGTGGAACAACAAGCCCAGTTAGCTCAACTGGTTGCCAGTGTGAAGGGGTTAACCCGCCAACTTCAGAATATGAGCCTGACGGAACCAGTTGCAAGCCCAGCTACCCCGACGACTGCAGTGGAATCATCACAGGCAGCCTTTCCGGTTAGTAAACCTGACAAATTTGAAGGTGACCCTGATAAATGCCACGGGTTCCTACAACAGTGGTCAGTTTTTTTTTGAAAATTCTCCTGCTAGTTCTGACCAAGCTAAGATATCATTCGTTGTATCCCGTTTAGCTGATAAAGCCCTTGAATGGGCCACCGCCAGTTGGAATTATATCCACCGCCTTCCTTATGCTTCCTTCCTTATAAAAGAGTTCAAGACAGTATTTGACCACCCCTACTAAGGAAACGTTAGTGGGGGGTTAGTGTCAAAATTGCATCAGGGGAATCGCTCAGTGGTCGATAATTCACTAGAGTTTAGGACTCTAGCCGCGAGTAGTGGCTGGAATGAGGCAGCGCTTTTGGTTACCTTTCGTCAAGGATTAAATGTGGATATGCTGAACGAACTGGCTTGCAAAGATGATGAGTTAAACTTAGATCAACTTATCACGCTAGCCATTAAACTAGATCATCTCCTTCACCACTGCAACAAGCCCAAGGTCGAAAGAAGCCCCAGACAAACTCTCACCTGGATAAAAGTCACTCAAGAAACCACAGAGTCTACCGAGCACATGCAATGTGATTCGTCTCGACCGTCACAAGAAGAAAGACGGTGCCGGCTGATGAATCATCTGTGCCTGTATTGTGGCAAGGCGGGACATCAGGTTCGTCACTGCTGGGCCAGACCTCAAAACAGCAAGGCTCTGACCCCTGGACACTCCACGTGCTAATGTGGTGAGTGTTCCCACAAAGGGGTTCGTTTCCAAATCTTTAATGTTTTCTTTGACTCTCTACTGTCATCCTTATTCTCTTGTCATTTCAGCCCTGATTGACTCTGGTGCGGAAGGAAATTTCATTCACACCAGTCTAGCTCCAGATCCCTATGGAGACCCTTCAGACCATTCTAAAGGTAGCCGCACTGGATGGAGGA